TAGATCTATATATATATAGATCTATATATATATAGATCTATATATATATATATATCGTCAAATAGAACTGCCCGGTAAACCGTAGGCAGAGAGGGAGAAGAGGACAACAAACGAGGGTCTGTGACAAACTGTTTCGTCGGAGTTTATATATATATATATATATATATATATATAGAGAGAGAGAGAGAGAGAGAGAGAGAGAGAGAGAAAGAGAGGGAGAGAGGCCGAATGACAAAATTGAAATATGGGTCAAATTGAGGCCGCGATCTATTTCACGGTCGGAATGATTTTTTTCAAGTTATTTAACATTTTTCCTGGAAATATTACAACAAAATCTATGAGTACTTCAATTTAAAAAAAACTCACTGAATTTGGAGTACTTTTTCAATTGGCCCACACATGGGCGAGTGGCAAAAACGAAAAATTTGCCAAATTGGCGCAACAATTATTCTGCGGTCTAAATGATTTTTTGAAAATGTTATGATATTTTTCTTGGAAAGAACACGACCTCATCTATAGATTCTCAAAATTTCAGATTTTTATGTGGATTCCTCCAAGCACAGAAAATTGCCCAAGTTGCCTCTTGCCAAGCGCTTTCTCTTTTTTTTTTCAGAAGACGGGCGTCAACGCCTAGGCTTGAGGGCCGTTTTGCAGTTCACATGCCCTCGCTTCTTTTTGTGGTTCGCTTCCACATGAGGACCGGTCCTTCCTTTTTCGAAAAGTTCCGATTCTAGAAGAGCTAGCTGTAGGTAGTCAACAATATCTTGAAGGACCGGTCCCCCAAATCCCTCCCCCCCCCCCAATAATCCACTTGCATCGTGGTCGCCTGCGGCCAAAAATGTGACACCTTGACACAGACGCTGAAGCCCACTATACCGCAGCCTTAGGGCTGCGAATTCCAGCATGCCATCTTCTCTAGAGCGGGTTTAAGAATCCAATCGTCACTTGACGCAGGCTTTCCTAATGCCGTCAGCATGATTCCCAACACTCTTACCGGGCCGCTTCTGGGGGGCGCACCCCTTGGTGGTGGATCCACCACCCCAGGGTTTTATTTCATATCTGAGACTGTTGTGAACCGGTCAAATGACGGTCAGACTTTGGTAGTCGGGATGTGAAAAATATCGCGTGGGGCAGTCGGGATGGACCTGGGGCAAAGGGTCTCGTATAAAGTTCGTCAAGTGTTGTCTGACTCTAAAAAACATGAAAAAGTAGGCCTCTCTCCCCTTAGACTAGGGGTCTTGCTCCAATACTCTAGAGCTGTCAGAGGTCTAGAGTTCTTGAAAAAAGAAGCATCACTCCACTTACTCCAGACTCGAGAACTATAGAAGCACTCACGAATTTCTCAGCGCTACATGACAACCCTTCTACAGTGCTAGATGACAGCGCCTGCTCGTTAGGATGGTCGGGGCAGGAGGCACACTCGCGAAAAAGAGGCTGGAGGGGGGGTAGGAGGGAGGACGCTAGAAAACGTGAGCGTTGCAGGCTCTGGACTCTATACAAATCGAGAGTGCCCTTTGAGAGCGCTTTCTGACAGCTCTCGAAGGGTGTTGTCATTTTCCAGTCTGGAGTAAGTGGAGCGAGGTGTTACTCTCAAAAATTCGGGACTCTAGAGTTGTGGAGCGAGGCCCTAGAGGGTGCTACTCTAGAGGGACACCTGAAGAGTCCAGAGTCCAGTCTGGTTTGTCCCAGATTCGGGAGTCTAGAGTAGTGCAGGGACAAACCAGACTGGACTCCCGAATTTGAGACTCTCGACTCTTCAAGTGTCCCTCTATGGAGTAGCACCCTCCACTACTCTAGACTCCCGAATTTGGGACAAACCAGACTGGACTCTGGACTCTTCAAGTGTCCTTCTAGAGTAGCACCCTCTAGGGCCTCGCTCCACTACTCTATAGAGGGACACTTGAAGAGTCCAGAGTCCAGTCTGGTTTGTCCCAAATTCGGGAGTCTAGAGTCGTGGAGGGTGCTACTCTATAGAGGGACACCTGAAGAGTCTATAGTGGAGAGGCGCTAGAGGGTGCTACTATAGAGGGACACTTGAAGAGTCGAGAGTCCAGTCTGGTTTGTCCCGTTCCACAACGCCGCCAGCCTGGTTTGTCCACCCAGACTTGCCGTAAACTCGTTTGGGTACTGGTTTGTCCACCCGGTAGACTACCGGTAGTTTGGGCACTATTTTTTTTTATTTTTTAATTTTCCGGAGGCTTGGGTACTCTAGAGGAGTTGAGAGTGCGCGCCTGGAGCATTTTCTAACAGCACTAGACACACATTTTTGAGAGGTTTGTCTAGTGTAAATGGAGCCAGGCAGAACTCTCAAATTTTCGAGAGTCTAGTGTAGTGGAGCGAGACCCAAAGTCCCACTAGCAAAGAGGTCTGGATTGAACGCCTGAATCGGGATGGGTTTGTGAAACGGTGCAGAAAATCGAGACTGAACTGCGTTTCCACACCTGTGACCAGATTTCGCAGCTTCATCCAATCCTGTTTGCTAGTGGGACCTCGTCCCGGGGAGGAAGTGAGTTTGAGTTGGAATTTGTTTGATTTTTTTTAGACAAAAAAGAAAAAAGTGGGATGTGGACGCGAGCCGTGGGTGTCGACGCGAGCTGTGACTGCGACTGTGAAAGTGAGTGATATGGCGGGGGGCAGCCAAGTGCTCTTCATGTTGCTCTCCTCCAACGCCGTCATCCTCTTCGCCACCTTCTTCCCCCTGCTCCTCCTCCTCCTCCTCCTCCTCCTCCTCCCCCTCCTCGTGCTACTGCTGCTTATAAACCCGTCGTGATCTCCCTCCTCAACCTGTAAAGCTTCTTCCTGTACCTCCTCTGTCCCCCCTAACGCGTGACTGTCACCATCTTCCTGCCCATCCGATGTCGCGTCACAGCCATGATTATCCTCCTTTTTCACCGCTGCCTCTTCCTTCCCCCCTTCCGCGTGTAAAGCATCTTGCCACAACCTTACCTTCTTCCTCTTTCCTCCCTTCCCCCCCCTCCCTTTCGTGTTGAGCATCTCTCTCTCTCTCTCTCTCTCTCTCTCTCTCTCTCTCTCTCTCTCTCTCTCTCTCTCTCTCTCTCTCTCTCTCTCTCTCTCTGTGCGTGCGCGCGCGCGCGCGTCGATGTGGAACAATTTAGACGATTGCAAAATCGTATCTATCGAGTTTGTATTGGAAAGCAAAAATTGGCCCATGCTCTTCCCCTACTCTGTTTTTTCTTTCTTAATCTTCGATGTCCTACTCTAAACAAATTAGCCTTTTTTTTTTTTTTTTTTGCCCCCTTAACTTTCGCAAGTAAAGTTGTCATAACTGGAGTTTGCTGACAGAGAGAGAAAGAGAGAGGGCATAGATGAAATAGTACGATATGAAAAAGTCACATTTTTGCTTTTGTTGTGAACTGCAGCCGTCTCAATCCTCTTATTCACGCGCATTTTTCCGCGCGATTTCGGCCTATTTTCCTTACCCGCTTTACAGCCTCCTGCCTCCTCCTCCCCCTCCTCCCCCTCCTCCCCCCTCCTCCTGTTCTATCACTTTCTCATTGCCATCTCTCCTCCTCACCACCATACCACCTTCTCTCTCTCTTCCCGCCTGCACTCTTCCTTATCCCCCTCGCTCGTCATTATAGCTGTCTCAACCCGCTGATTAATGTTTTGTGCGGTTCTGTCCGTACCATCCTCCTCTTCTACGTACACCTGTGTACAAGTACCCGAAGGAGAATTTGGTTTAGGGTTTAGTTAGCAACGGAACCAATCGTCCTTATCGTTGTAAACTTCCAGCACCTGGTTTTGCTCAATTTTCACCCAAAGGGCTTGATTTTATGTCGAAACACGGCATGCTCACTTTTCACCTGACCTTATATCGTTGCTGTCGACTCCCGCCAGACTCCTTCTGTCTCTTCCCGCAATTCCCTCTTCTGGTCCCACACCCCTCTCCCCACCTCTTTCTCCTCCCTGTCCTCTTCCTCCTTCCTCCTTTCTTCCTCCTCCCTCCTAGCTTCTTCCTCCTCCCTTCCTCCTTCCTCTTTCCCTTCTTCCTCCTCCCTTCCTCGTTCCCTTCTTCCTCCTCCCTTCCTCGTTCCCTTCTTCCTCCTCCCTTCCTCCTCCCTTCCTCTTTCCCTTCTTTCTCCTCCCTCCTTTTTTCTTCCTCTTCCCTCCTAGCTTCTTCCTCCTCCCTTCCTCCAATCCTCGTTCCCTTCTTCCTCCTCGTCGGTAGCGCCGTCAGATGCATCCAAGATAACCCCCTGCGATCTAATCGTAATTGACCTAATTCTCTCCTCACTCAACTCTCCTGGTCCCCGGATTTGTCTTTTCTTCTACTTTCCGTTGCCATTTTGTCCTTACTTTCCTCCTCGAGTTGAACTGGTCTTTGCTCTCTTTCCCTCCTCTCCTTGTCCTTTGGTTTGCCTCTTCTCTTACCCCTCTGGCTATCTTGCCCTTGCCCGTACTCTTCTCCTCCTCGAGTCGCGCTGGACTTTGCCTATTTTCAGACCTCGATGATCTCCCCCTCGGGCCGATGAAAAGGGAGGCGCAGCTAGTGGCAAACAAAATGCTCGGTCTTCGGTCTTTGCGGTAGCCGGACCCCCACCGGCGGCCCGACCCTATCCTTGAACACCATGGTTGTCGGGGGGGGGGAGAGGACATGCATCCCCTCTGATGGGGGGTTGGAGGGAGACAACAAAGCTATGTTCGCAGGGGTCCCCTGTCTGTAAGCCTTAGGAGTAGTGGTAGGTAGGTAATGAAGATGAATTGAAAGGATTTGAAAGACGATGAAAGATTTGAGAGTAGAATATAGCATAGTTAAAAAGAAAAAAAAAAACTAAATGTACATCATGAATGGAAATAAATACACGGTGCGAGGAGTCGATCCACCGTCCTCTCTCTGCTTTGGCAATTGATTGGCGGATCGTTTTTCATTTCTTCTCTTGTTCTCTGACCAGCAACGGTTGCTCCAGCTGCTGAACTTTCATACCCAGATGCAGTTTCTTAACAACACTGGCTGATCGATATAATAGGTGCATTCTTTGATTGGTCAGCTCAAATTGATTGATTGATTGATTGATTGATTAGTTGCCTGACCTCGTCGCATCCTTGGTCGTTTGATTGATTGGTTGGTTGATTGATTGATTGATTAGTTGCCTGACCTCGTCGCATCCTTGGTCGTTTGATTGATTGATTGATTGATTGATTGATTGATTGATTGATTGATTGATTAGTCGATCGTCTAATCGGGATTATCGATCCGGGGAACTTCACATGTTCCAACTAGGCGACCTAGACGTTTGGAGACTTTTTTTTGTTTTGTTTTCTTTCCAACGAATCAGCTGTTGATGGACACATCGGCGGAGCAAGTTTCAATCGATCTGCACACCAAGTGTCCCTTTGACTCTGTGTACTGTGTGACGTCAGAATTGTCCTCACGTGTGGATTTACACTTGAGTTTGACCTTGGGAGTGCTTTTTCTTATCCGAGGAACATCTCTCAAGACTGTTCGTGGGGAGCCGCTGGAATAATTTTAACCTGTCATGTATCTGCAAAGATCATACTCAAGTGCAAATCCCAAGACTCCCCGAAAATGAACGCGCTATCCCAAGCTCGCGGTTCAAAAAGAAAAAGAAAAAGAAAAAGAAAAAGAAAAAGAAAAAGAAAAAGAAAAAGAAAAGGAACTCCCCACGAAAAAGAAAAAGAACTCAACGATAAAGAGCCACTCCCCTAACGCTCGTCGTTAAGCCTGCTGCTACCGTTTTTCCCCGAACATAACACACCCTGAAAATGAACGTATACAAGGAATGTTTCCGGCCCGATGCAGTCAAAATGAGGGTGCGTTGTGTTCGGCGGAAGAAGGTAGATGCCGCCGTTAACGCCCTCCACCGTTAAATCCTAAGCTCGCCAGGAAAGCGTGAAAGTGTAACAATAGGTGCCTAAAAAAAACAAAAAACAAAAACAATAGGTGCTTTATGTAAGTTCCTACTCAGGCTTTCTTGGATAGCCACGTGGCTGTCTCTTATACACATCTAGATGTGTATAAGAGACAGCCTACTACCCATCGGCACCGCCTTTCGGGGTTTC